TAAATTGCAGGCTGAGAGGCCGGCAAGGCAGGCAGGGAATGTTGGTTTCCTCTGTCACTGAAGCAAGCAAGCCTCATGTTCAGTTTAAGCTTCCTGGCTGCCGGCTGCCATCTTGGCGGACAGTTAATTTGCATATCTCCCTGATTAGCCAATGGGAAGGGTAGCAGTCCTACGCCAATTACCATGTTTCTCTTTTATTAGATAAGGATAGTACTCCATGTGTAAATGTACCACAGTTTTTAGTCCATTCATCTGCTGATGAGTACTTGGGTTATTGCCAAATCTTAGCTATTGTAAATTGTGCTGCTATGAACATTTGGGTGCATATATTCTTTCATTCGTTTTTCAGATTTCTTGGGATATATTCCTAAAAGTGGCATTACTGCATCAAATGGGAGTTCCATTTTTAATTTTTTTAGGAAATGCCATACTGTTTTCCACAGTGGCTGCACCAGTCTGTATGCCCGCCAGCAGTGTATGAGGGTTCCTTTTTCTCCACATCCTCACTGGCACTTGTCTCTTGTTGATTTGTTAATGATAGCCATTCTTGACAGGTGTGAGGCAGTACCTCATTGTCATTTTGATTTTCATTTCACGGATGCTTAGTGACTTTGAGCATGTTTTCATCTCTTTGCCTTCTGTATGTCCACTTTTGAAAAGTGTCTATTTAGGTCCTTTGCCCATTTTTTGATTGGATTGTTTATCTTCCTATTGTTAAGTTGTATGAGTTCCCTGTAAATTATGGAGATTAAATCATTATTGGATGTATCATTGGAAAATATGTTCTTCCATGCAGTAGGGTCTCTTGTTGTTTTGTTGATTGTTCCTTTGCTGTGCAGAAGCTTTTTATTTTGATGTGGTCCCATTTGTTTATTTTCTCCTTAGTTTCCATTTTCCTAGGAAAAGTATCAGTAAAGTTATTGCTATGAGTTATGTCTGATATTTTGCTGCCTATGGATTCTTCTAAGATTTTTATGGTTTCCCGTCTTATATTTAAGTCTTTTTTTTCCATTTGGAGTTTATTTTAGTGGATGGTGTAAGTTGGTGATCTAGTTTCATTTTTTTTACATGTTTCTGTCCAATTTTTACTACACCATTTATGAAAGAGACTGTCTTGACTCCATTGTATGCTCTTGCCTCCTTTGTCAAATATTAATTGAGCATAATAGCTTGGGTTGATTTCTTGGTTCTCTGTTCTGTTCCATTGGTCTATATGTCTGTTCTTGTGCCAGTCCCAGGCAGTTTTGAGAACAGTGGCTTTGTAATATAGCTTCATATCTGGTATTGTTATCCCTCCAACTTTTATCTTCTTTCTCAGGACTGCTGTGGCTATTTAGGGTCTTTTTTTATTCCATATACTTTTTTGGAGAGTTTGCTCCAAGTCTGTGAAATATGCCATTGGTATTTTAATGGGGAGTGCATTGAATCTATAGATTGCTTTGGGTAGTAAGGACATTTTAATGATGTTGGCTCTACCAATCCATGAATATGATATATTCTTCCACTTGTTTATAACTTCCTCTATCTCTTTTTTCAATGTTAGGTAGTTTTCAGAGTACAGATCTTTTACAGGTTAAGCTTATTTCTAAGTATCTTAATTTTTTTGTGCAATGGTAAATGGGATTTTGTTGTTGTTTGTTTGTTTGTTTTAGTTTCTCTTCCTGTGAGTTCATTATTGGTGTATAAAAATGCCTTAGATTTCTGGGTGTTATTTTGTATCCTGCTATGTTGCCAAATTCACTTATTAAATCCAGTAGTTTTTTGATGGAGTCATTAGTGTTTTATGTACAATATCATGTAATCAGTGAATAATGACAGTTTTACTTCTTCATTTCCAATTTGGATGCCTTTTATTTCTTCTTGTCTGATTGCTATGACTAGTAAATCCAGTGCTATGTGGAACAGGAGGGGTGAAAGTGGGCACCCCTATCTTGTTCCTGTTCTTAGGGGAAATGATTCTAGTTTTTGCACATTGAGTACGATATTGGCTGTTGGTTTATCATATAAGGCTTTTATTATGTTCAGGTATGATCCCTCTATTCCCACTTTGCTGAGCGTTTTATCAAGAAATGGTGTTGGATTTTGTCAAATGATTTTTGTGCATCAATTGATATGATCATTTGATTTTTGTCTTTCAATTTGTTTATATGATGTATCACACTTATTGATTTGCAGATTTTGTATCAGCCTTGCATACCCAGAATAAATCCCACTTGGTCATGGTATATGATCTTTTTAATGTATTGTTGGATGCGATTTGCTAATATTTTGTTGAGGATTTTATTATCTATGATCATTAGGTATATTGGGTTGTAATTCTCTTTCTTGGTAGCATCTTTATCTGGTTTTGGGATCAGGATAATGCTGGCTTCATAGAAAGAAAGTCAGAAATGTCCCTTTCTCTTGAATTTTTTGTAATAGTCTGAAGAGTGTAGGCTTTAATTTTTCTTTGAATGTTTGGTTAAATTCCCCTGTGAAGCAGTCTGGACCAGGGGTTTTATTTGCTGGAAGTTTTTTTTATTACTGCTTCAATTTCCTCAGTAGCTATTAGCCTATTCAAATATTCTGATTCTTCCTGAATGGGTTTTTGAAGATTGTATTTTCCTGAGAATATGTCCGTTTCATCTAGGTTGTCCAGTTTCTTGGAATAGAGTTGTTTATAATATTTTTTAACATCCTTTGTATTTCTGTGGGGTCGGTTGTTACTTCACCTTTTTCATTTATTTATTTGAGTTCTCTCTCTTTGCTTCTTTATGAGCCTGGCGAGAGGTTCATCAATCTTGTTTATCATTTCAAAGAACCAGTTCTTGGTTCTATTGATCTTTTGTATTGTTTTTTGGGTCTCTATGTCATTTACTTTTGCTCTGATCTTTATTATTTAATCCCTTTTACTGACTCTGGGCTTTTCTTGTTGCTCTTTTTCTAACCCTAAGATGCAGGGTTAGATAACTTACTACTATTTTTTTTTTTTTTTGAGGTAGGCTTGGAGAGCTATGAACTTCCCTCTCAGGACTGCTTTCACTGTGTCCCATAGATTTTGGATTGTTGTGCTTCCATTGTCATTAATTTTCAGGATATTTTTAATTTGTCATTCTTTTTTCTAACTTTAAGTTGTAGGGTTAGATAATTTTTTACCTGTTTTTCTTGGGGGGTTTTTTGAGGTAGGCCTGTAGTGCTATTAATTTTCCTCTCAGGGCTGCTTTTATTGTGTCCCATAGATTTTGGATTGTTGTGTTTTCACTATCATTTGTTTCCAGGATGTTTTTTTTTATTTCTTCTTTGATCTCTTTGGTAATCCAATCATTGTTTAATAGCATGCTATTTAACCTGCAAGTGTTTTATTTTTTATTGTAGTTGATTTCTTATTTTATGCCATTGTGATTTTAGAAGATGCTTGTTATGATTACTATCTTCTTGAATATGAAGAGACTTAGCCTTCATCCTAATATGTGTCCTATCTTTGAAAATGTCCCGTGTGCACCTGTGAAGATTGTATATATTCCATAGCTTTGGGGTAAAATGTTCTGAAGATATCAATTTCTGTTTCTTTTCTATTTTTTTCTAGAAGATTTATTCAGTAATGTCAATTGGGTATTAAAGTCCCCTACTCTGATTCTATTGTTTTCAATCTCTCCCTTGATAACTTTTTGAAGTTTTTTTTTTATGTATTTGGGTGCTCCTGCATTGGGTGCATATATGTTTACCGAAGTTATATCCTCTTGTATCAATCCCTTTACTATTATGAAGTGGCCCTCCTTATCTTTATGGCCTTCACTTTGAGGTCTATTTTGTCTAAGAATTGCTATCCCAGCTTTTTTTTTTTTTTCATTTCCATTTGCTTGAAACAAAGTTTTCCATCCCTTCACTTTCCATCTTTGTGAGTCCTTTTTTTTTGAGGTGGTTCTCTTGTAGACAGCATATATATGGATAATGGGTTTTTTTTATCCATTCATCCACCCTACATCTTTTTTTTAATATATTTTATTGATTTTTTACAGAGGAAGGGAGAGAGACAGAGAGCTAGAAACATTGATGAGAGAGAAACATCGATCAGCTACCTCCTGCACACCCCCCACCGGGGATGTGCCCCCAACCCAGGTACATGCCCTTGACCGGAATTGAACCCGGGACCTTTCAGTCCGCAGGCCGACGCTCTATCCACTGAGCCAAACCGGTTTC